TGAGAGATGAAGTCTCATAATCCATGCTTCTAAGGAGCATTTGGTTGTACTTTTTCCAAGACAGATTTGTTTGTTCTCTGGCAGTCCATGGTATATTCAATATTTTTGCTAATACCATAATTCAAATGCATCAATTTTTCTGAGGTCTTCCTTATTCATTGTCCAGTTTTTACATGCATATGAGGTAATTGAAAATACCATGGCTTAGTTCAAGTGCATGTTGGTACTAACAGTGACATCTTTTGCATTTTAACACTTTAACAAGGTCTTTTGCAGCACCTTTGCCCAATGGAATATGTCATTTGATTTCTTCACTTCCATTTCCATAGACAAGAAAAAATAGATGTTATCAAATACCTGGATTGAGTTGTTTAATCTTGTCAAATATTAATTTGAGTTTGGAATTCTAACAACTGAAGCACAACTTTTGCCATTGCTTTTGTCACACTGTGTCTGTGGGTCATCCCTGACTTGAGAAAACTCAAGAGCAGGACTATAGAAGTTGTCTGCTGTCTGAGCAAGATGTCAGATCACTTAGACTGGGACCTGGCTTCCAGCTCTGTCTTTGAATCATTTAAAGTTTTTGTATCTTATCATTCATCTTTCCATCAGGTTATTAGACCATTTATTCAAATCTCCAAGGTAAGATCCCTTGAGCCAATTCTCGATACTTTGGGGTCTCTGCCCCTTACTTTTCTATAGAAGGGACTATCAGTGATTCAGCTGGATGAACTCTGATCTGATTCTTCTGCAGGGCCACCCTGAATCTCTCTGAGGCTCAGTGTCTCTCCCTGCATTGGGTTTGTGGCAGCTGTCTCATTTTCTAACACACTTAAAATGAATTACAGAGCTACTTAAAGTGTGGTATGCAAACTGGTTGTTAGTTGTCAAATTGTTACCAGCCAAAGAAAAGATAAGAAGCCTGCACTATAATATAACTTAACTATGTCACTGAGAATACTCTTTAGTTCAGCCAATTTTTTTTTTTTCTTTTTAGTAAGAAAACTATCTTGATGAAGGAAACACCATATTGATGTACATACTAGTACTAGCTCCTTGTGCCTCATCACAAATGGGTACTTCACTTAGGGAATAGCTGAGGTCAATGTGAAGCAATAGTTGTGAGGTAAACACAGAGTGTGGTTAACATGTCTGAAGACAAAATAATTATACAGTAACTTGTCACTAATCTGAGAATTGTTCAAAAATAACCAGTAATTGAGATAATTTGGCAGTAGATGTGTGTATGGGGGTAATGTTTTCCACCTGTGGTTCTTCTTTTTTTTTAAT